CCCCCCGCGCCCTGGGGTGGCGCCGGCCGCCGCGGCCGCCGCCGCCGCGGCTTCCAGGAACCAGACCGGTTCCTGGCCTGGTTCTCCTTTGTGCGCCAGGATGATTCCGAGGGATCCGTCCATTTTGTGTCCGTGATAAGACACCGGCCACGCCTGCGCGTCCGTCCCGAGCCAGGCATCGCCGTCCTCGTACACGTTAGTGACCCACAGAGCGACGCGGTTCCAACCACAGGGGCGGACGTAGCGCTCGTTGCCCCGCAGAAATGTCCTGTTTCTATCCTGAAGGTCAAGACAAAGGTCAAAGGTCAGAGTGATGTGTTGCAGACCTTCCTACTGATGACATCATAGATAATGTTGCTAACAGGTACATGATTGTTTCTTATCAAGAGTTAGCGTCTTTTTTTGCTAAAAGCAGGTGAACCGCCATAGATATTTAACTATGGTTACATGAGTGCTAGCGTCGCTGAAGTGATGCTAACAGTGGCTACATATTTGATCTGTTATCTTTGATTAGCTCATGTAGAAAAGAAGCTAACGTTATCTTTACATTTAACCAATGACGGACGTCACATGTTAACGTTGATGCTGATGCTAACTAAACTGTAATACTTTTAACCATCATGAATACTAGCTTCATCTGTGCGATGCTATCCATCTATAGCATCTGAAAAGTAATGCTAACGCTAACTAGGACGTTAGCCTGTTAACCAGGACACGTTTGAAGCTAAGGCTGCTGTGAATGAAGCTAAGTTTTAGTCTAACGTGTCGTTGACAGTCACCTGGACGTTGGTGAAGTCGTAGTTGAAGGCAGGATGAAAGAATTTCTCGGGGTTGATCTTCACGACGATCCTCTGACCCTCCTGGGGCCCCGGGCCCTGACACAGCATTGGGCCAGGGTCCTGCAGGGTCAGGGTTCCCAGGCTGGGGTACTCCAGCTGCTTCAGCCCCTCCTGTTTGAAGAACTCCCTCAGGGCCACGATGTTGACAAAGTCCTGTGGAGTGTGGGGCGAGGGCTCAGAGGCGGCTTCCACCTGACACCCAGACAGAGCCGACAGAGCCTCCAGACACAGGGCCAGGCTGGGCATGGCTCTGACCGGACACCAGCAGGAGGAGAAACGAAGGAGAAACGAAGGAGAAACGACTTTTAAGAGAACCGTCTCTGCTCCTGACACACCAACAGCTGCTCTGACTTTCGCTTTCATTTTCAGTGTTGAAGCTGCAGCTTCCTGTAAATGACACGCCCCCTTCTGTTCACACAGGGTCAGCACTGACTGTGCTGTTAGCGCCCCCTGCTGTTAAAACACCTGCCTTGTCTCCATCTACAGGTAAATCACGGAGCTGCGGCTGTGGCTCAGTGAGCAGAGAGTCTGCCGTGGACAGACGTGAGGTCAGACTTTTATCCCTCTCTGCTGTCACACATTCTGACCTTTGACCTCTGTACCTGCCAGTCTTTAGACATTCATTTAAAAAGTTGGAATCAGCCAGAACAGTTGGTGAAGGACCAGGTGAATTATTGAACAGTTCACACAGCGGTGGGTCAGAGGTTCGAGGCTCAGAACAATCAGACACAGTCTGTATTTTTCTGTCGTCACAGGAGGAGGAGCTGCATTACTCCAGTCTGAAGCACCGGGCCTGGCCCCGCCCCCACGGACGAGGCCTGGTCAAGGAGGAAGTGACTTACTCTACAGTTCACAGCCTGAGAAACCAGCCAGGGTCACATGACCGCAGCTAGCGCACCACCTGGTGGTAAATGTTAAAAATCTCATTTTTCTACAAAAAAACAAAGAAAACTTTTTTCCAACAATAAAAAGAGACTTCACTGTGATTGGTCTGTTGTCTCCTCCTTGACCCTTTCACCTCCACAGACTTTTATTTTGAAGGTTCTTTTCACACTGTTATATATATTCGTCTGTACAGTTTGAACCGCGACCCTGTGTTTGGAGGTCTGCTTCAGCCCACTGCCCCCTGTGGTCAGTTTGTGTGAATGACATCAATAAGAATAGTAGGTTTTAAACACGAGTCATTTACGTCACTGCACAGAAAACTAATCGACGTACGTGACGTTTCTGACGTCGTGTTGGTGAAAACAGTCAGCTTTTATTTTGATTTTAATCTTTGCTTTTATGGAGGCAACGCCTGATTCAACGTGATCTTCACCGAAACGTGTTTTTTCTTGTTGTTTTTTTCTTTCGTTCCTAACGTTGATTGGCTGATAGTTCTGTCAGTTTATTCCACGTCTGTCTTATTCACTTTGCCATTGGCCAAAAATACCTGTCAATCAAACATTAGCCCCTTTGACAGCCCTGAATCATCTTTAAAATCCCGGATGTCCTCGTTTATGTTTTTCTCCTCATCCATTGGCTGCAGCACCGGAAGTGGGTGGGAAGTTCCTCGAACGGAATCAACCGTTTCCTTGTCTGTCATGAGCTGCAGCTGCAGGAAGAAGGAGCCGTAAATGAACTCTAATCAGTACAATTACCACATTCTGCGTCTCATCGGAACGGTTTACGTGCAGACGATTAGCGGTTTGGCTCCGTGAGAACAGCCACGGCGGCGGACATGTTGTAATTGGTTAAAAAAACTGTTGGATTTTCACCGCTGCGCCTCCGAACACGCCGCCTTTGTGGCGATGAGCACGGAGCTGCTGACCGAGCTGGAGAACCGATTCTTCGCTGACAACCTGCTCACCAACGAGGACTGGGGTGAGTGGAACCGAAACACCGGGGAAACACACGCAAAACCGAACCGAACCTAGCGATGAAAATGTCCGCAGGTGGTTGAGAGTCCTGTGGGCTGTAGTCGATGTGCTGTGACGTCCTCCATGTTTGCTGCTGCTGCTGCTGCTGTTGGTGGTGTCGTTAATAACGTCGAGATAGATCGATAATATATATTTACAAATACATCGTCGTTTTCTTTTGAGGCTGACGATTCTACAGAACTCTGATATCTCTCGTGTTTACGTCACTCGTGTTTGTAACTGGCGATGGCGTCACCAAAATAATCGTTTTTTTTCTATGTTAATATGGTATAAATATTATCGTGGTTTTCGAGGCGAATGAAAAACAGTTAATTTTGACCTCAGCAGGTGCATCGTGTTAACGATTCACAATATTTTCACCGTATCCCTCATAACGTGGATAAAATGAAAGTCGATATTATTGTTTATGTTGAGAATGTGGGCAGTCTACAGACTGGCTGCCGTTAATGTTTCCATCCTCACGTCAACAGTTGTTCACGACATCGATGCGTTAATAAAAAGACAGCGGTTCGTGTTTATGACGTACAATCTTTGACAGCAGCAGGACTAGCTCAGCCGTTTGGATGCTAATGCTAATGCTAAAGCTCAGATGTTCATGGAGGTGAAGACCGGAAACTGAAAGTCTGTCGATGTCACGATCAGTCTGAGGTGTAACGGTACATGTCCGTTCGTCCTGGGACCAGGTGTGGACCAGGAACCAGGTGTGGACCAGGAACCAGCGGTGGCTTCAGGTCCGGCGTCACGTGCCGTCACTCTCTGTAGTTACTGTCTCAAAGTCCACACCTGTGTTGACACCTGTGGCTCATCACCAAACAGAAGGCATGATGGGTAGAATGATGAGGTCAGGGGTCAGGGGTCAGCTGAGCTCCACCAGATGAAGAGAACCGATCAGCTCGGTACCAGTTGAACAGATCTGTCAGTACTGATGAGCAGAGGTGTGTGTGTGTGTGTGTGTGTGTGTGTGTGTGTGTGTGTGTGTCCTCAGATGCCTGCCTGTTCCAGTGTGAGAACATGGAGGAGGGCGAGGACGCAGATTTCAGCCGGGGGCTGAAATACGACACGTCGGTACGAAGACCTGAACATCATCTGGGACACGCCCCACACTTTTCTTCTTTCTCACTGTTTTTTCACCTTTTCTTGGTTCTGAAAGTCAAACTCAGACTGGAGAAAATAAAATCTATGATTTTTATCAATGCCATGAAAAAAAACAAACCAACAATTTCAGTTCAGTCAAAAACACACACACACACACACACACACACACTCTGATCCCTGTCTGTCTCTGTCTCTGTCTCTCAGTTTGTCAGTAACCTGGTCCTCACCCTGGATCCTGACGACCCCTCGTCACCATGGCAACACTGTGAGGACAACCTGCTGACAGGTACAGAACAGTCGACCAATCACAGACTACCACAGTCTCTCCCCCTCTGTCCCCCCCCCCCCCCCCTCACGTCCTGACTCTCGTGTCTCTACAGGAGATTCTCCGGTCATCAAACATGAGATGGGCATCGCTCAGCCGCTGCCTGAGGAAATGTGTACGTTGTTGTCGTTGTTGTTGTCGTTGTTGTTGTTGTCGTTGTCGTTGTTGTTGTCGTTGTTGTCGTTGTTGTTGTTGTTGTCGTTGTTGTTGTTGTTTTGTGGTGTTTTTTTGTTTGACGGTTCACGTTGTCTTGTTTGTTTGTTTGTTTGTTTGTTGACAGTGTTCCAGGTGAAGGCGGAGCCTCTCTCTCCGGCGTCCTCCCTCGGATCAGACTCTTCCGTGGGGTCACCAGATCCACAGGTCTGTCGTTGGACCAGTGTTAGCTTTGATTACCTTAGCGTTTCGTACATGCTAATCTTCTGACAACCACCGCATTCATTTGTTAAGGTCACGGTCAAAGGTGAAACCCCGCCCACTCCTCCTTATATGTACGGTGACATCCTGTCTCCGCCCCTCGGCTCCATGGAGGTCACCGTGGCCACCAGCGTTGTGGCCCGGCCACAGACGCAGCTACAGACGCCACTGACCGCCCAGATTCCAGCGGTCATCACTGGGTTACAGACACAGAGCACAGGTGAGCTGAGAGAGCAGCCAATCAGAGAGCAGCCAATCAGAGAGCAGCCAATCAGAGTGATCTCTAACACTGCTGTTGGTCTGTGCTCGGTCAGTACTGCCCAGGTCCACTCTGGTCAACACCAAACCTCCCATCCAGCCCAGACCAGTCTGTGTGGCCTCCTTACCTGTGGCCCAGACTCCGGCCCCCACCAAGACCCTCATCCTACAGGGCCTCCCCACCATGGACCAGAACAGACCAGGTGAGGTCACAGACCCACTGACCGACAGTCCACTGTTGTCGACCACGTTAACCAACCAACAGTAGCTAAAAGTAAAAAACCACCTCTCTCTGTTCGCACCTCTCTACGGCCAGCACGCGTGTGGCACTCGCATGTCCTCTCTCAGTCAGTCTGTCTCAGCTCAGCTCCGGCCATCGTCAAAGTGGAGCCCGTTTCTTCAAACATCTGCTCCAGTCCTGCTCCTCCTGCTCCTCCTGCTCCTCCTCCTCCCTCCAGGAAGAGGTTCGTCCCTGCCACCTCCTCACTGCCTGGGAACAACGCCGCCGACATTGACGTAACGTACACAGTTCGTACCGTGCTTTGCTGACGAGGTGTCGTGTGACTTGTGACTCGTTTAAAAGTGCAGTGGCACACGCTGGCCACAGGAGGCAGCGTTGTCAGCTGTTGTCCTGTTTCTCCTCCAGATGAAGGTGTTGAAGCGTCAGCAGAGGATGATCAAGAACCGGGAGTCGGCCTGTCAGTCCAGGAAGAAGAAGAAGGAGTACCTGCAGAACCTGGAGGCTCAGCTGAGGGAGGCGCAGCAGGAGAACCACAGGCTCCGCAGGGAGAACCAGGCTCTGAGGGAGAGACTGGCTGGGGAAGAGGTGTGTGTGTGTGTGTGTGTGTGTGCGTGTGTGTGTGTGTGTGTGTGTGGTTACAGTCAGACTAACGTTCACTGTTCGTCCACAGGGGGGAGACTCAGCTAGTAATAAACGAGCGGTGTGTGTCATGGCCGTCCTGCTCTTCATGACCTTCAGCTTTGGTCCAGTCAGGTAACGATGCTGCTGCTAACACTGCTGCTAACACCGCTGCTGCTGCTGCTAACACTGCCGCTGCTGCTAACACCGCTGCTGCTGCTAACACTGCTGCTGCTACCCCCGCTGCTGCTGCTAACACCGCTGCTGCTGCTGCTAACACCGCTGCTGCTGCTAACACTGCTGCTGCTGCTGCTAAAACTGCTGCTGCTAACACTGCTGCTAACACCGCTGCTGCTGCTGCTAACACTGCTGCTGCTACCCCCGCTGCTGCTGCTAACACCGCTGCTGCTAACTCGGGTCTGCTCTTCTGCAGCATCACAGACAGGAAGTTAGCCGCAGCGCCGCAGGACGGCAGCGTGGTGTGGTACACGGGTCGACAGCTGCTGGAGATCGAACAGCAGCCGCCATCGCCGCGGCGACGACCAACGACCAGACTGGAGATGGAGGAGGACGGAGGAGCGGCAGAGGTGGAGGGATTTTCTGCCGAGTCTTACCAGTTCAGGTGAGAGAAGAGCGCCCCCTGCAGTCACAGGACCGACACGTTTGACTAGACTTGTGCTGACGCTCCTGTGGTGTTGACCAGGAACCTGAGCGACGTCTTCAGTGACGTGAAGGAGCTGGTCCTCCAGGACATCGATCGGTACTTCACCTCCTCAGACTGTCGACAGTTCAACCGCTCCGAGTCTCTGAGGTCAGAGCCTCCACCGTTGTTCTCCTCCTCCTCTCCTCCTCTCCTCCTCCTGCCTGTGTTTGTTGACCTCTGTCTGTCTGATCCTCAGGCTGGCAGACGAGCTCCGAGGCTGGGTTCACAGGCACCAGATCGACAGGAAGAAGTCTGGAGGGAAACCAAAGATCGTCAAGAAGGCCAAGATCGCTCAGGTCAGAGGAGGGAAGGGGGGGGGAGGGGAGGGGGAAAAAAACTCTATATCTTATTGTTGGCCGTGTATCGTGATACGTATCATATCGTCAGGTTTTCTGGTCTGTTACATGAGTGATTCATCCAGACTGATGTGATGGTTGTCGTGGCGACCCTCAGTCTCACTCGTTGTTGTTGTTGTTGTTGTTGTTGTTGTTGACAGAAGGCTCAGCTGAGGAAGACCAACTTCTCCAGATACCTGCCCGTTCAGATGCATCGCTCCATCGAAAAGTATGTTTGTTTATGTTTTGTTGTTTTGACTGAACGTCCTGTGGCTGGCCCCTGAACCTCTGCCCCCTGCTGGTCTCTGTAGTCAGCTACAGGTACTTCCTGGTCCTGAGGTCACGTACAGCGACTTCCTGGACGCCATCGACCGACGAGAGGACACGTTCTACGTCGTCTCTTTCAGACGGGTAAAAACAAAATAAAAAGTTTTTGCGAAAGTTTGCAAACGTTCCATGGCCAATCGATACCTGAACTTTGACTTTGTCGCCCCCTGCAGGACCACCTGCTCCTCCCTGCCATCAGCCACAATAAAACCAGTCGACCCAAAATGTCGCTGGTGATGCCTGCGATGTCGATGAACGGTGACTCAAGGCCTGATGATGTCACCCAGTGATGTCACAGGATCGTTTACACTCATTTGTTCTGTTCTGTTTTCACTCATGTCTGACTCCGCCTTCTTCTTCACAGAGAGTCTATACAACGCCCCCCAGGGGTACGAGATGATGATGCAGGTGGACTGCGAGGTCATGGACACTCGCATCGTCCCCATCAAGTCCTCCGCTGTGCCGCCGTCTCTGCGCGACCCTCCTCCGCCTCCTCCGTCCTCGTCCTCCGCTCACACCCATCACCATCACAACCACACGCCCCTCCCTCGACGCCACCACCACC